TTGTTTGGTGTTGAGTTTAATAAGTTCTTTATAGATCTTGGAAACTAGCCCTTTATCTGATACGTCATTTGCAAATATCTTCTCCCATTCTGTAGGTTGTCTTTTAGTTTTGTTGACTGTATCCTTTGCTCTGCAAAAGCTTCTTATCTTGATGAAGTCCCAATGAGATACCACCTCACACCAGTGAGAATGGGGAAAATTAACAAGGCAGGAAACAACAAATGTTGGAGAGGATGTGGAGAAAAGGGAACCCTCCTGCACTGTTGGTGGGAATGTGAACTGGTGCAGCCACCCTGGAAACTGTGTGGAGGTTCCTCAAAGAGTTAAAAATAGACCTGCCCTACGACCCAGCAATAGCACTGTTGGGGATTTACCCCAAAGATACAGATGCAATGAAACGCTGGGACACCTGCACACCCCAATGTTTCCAGCAGCAATGTCCACAATAGCCAAACTGTGGAAGGAGCCTCGGTGTCCATCGAAAGATGAATGGATAAAGAAGATGTGGTCTATGTATACAATGGAATATTCCTCAGCCATTAGAAACGATAAATACCCACCATTTGCTTCAACGTGGATGGAACTGGAGGGTATTATGCTGAGTGAAGTAAGTCAATCGGAGAAGGACAAACATTATATGGTCTCATTCATTTGGGGAATATAAATAATAGTGAAAGGGAATAGAAGGGAAGGGAGAAGAAATGTATGGGAAATATCAGAAAGGGATACAGAACATAAAGACTCCTAACTCTGGGAAACAAACTAGGGGTGGTGGAAGGGGAGGAGGGCGGGGCATGGGGGTGAATGGGTGACGGGCACTGAGGGGGGCACTTGACGGGATGAGCACTGGGTGTTATTCTGTAAGTTGGCAAATTGAACACCAATAAAAAATAAATTTATTATAAAAAAAAAACCAGAGCCTCGATGAAGAGACTTCCGGAAATGTTTGCTGCCTGAGTGAATAAAGGGATGGAAGAGTGGAAGACTTGGCCTGGGCCAGGTCCCTCAGGCCTCAGTTTATCGGGGTTAGGATGCACCTGATAGGAACCCAGTCCTTAGGGACGCTAGTCCTCTGCACAGCTCTCAGCCTCGCCTCTGGCTTGGGGTTTGGCCTCCTCTTCCTCTGGACCACTGGGCCTCCTAGTACACACACCTTCTCTCCCTCTGTCTGTCCTGGGGTGTCATCCTGCAGCCCGAGCACAGCACAGCTCTTGGTCTTTGGCCTGAGCCCACCTAGGAAGCCAGCCAGCCTGCCAGCCAGCCAGGTTATATTTAGATTTCTGCCACCACCTGACGGGGTCATCCGTGAGTCGGGGCACAGAGGTAGCTGTGGCATTTCAGGAGTAAGCCGAGGCAGGACCAGGGCAGCGAGGAAGTGGATGGGGAAGTGGGGGCTCATCTAAGTGAGTCACAGGGCAAGGATGAGAATGTGTGGCTTCCATGGAACCCAGGGAGAGGAGGTCAGACCCCAGGCTGCTGCTGGTTTGCAGTCTCCAGCAAAGCTGCCCCGGGCACAGGCACTCGAGTTGCAGACACCGTGACTCCATCGACAGCACCGCGGGCACCCACGGGTGCTCCCACACAAGTGCCGGCTTAACTTTTCCAGAAAGTCCCGAGCTATTTTCCAGAGGGCTCGCTCTGGTTTCTGTGCTTGCCGGGAGGGCGCGAGGGGGCTGCTCTGCTGCGTCCCACCAGCGTGTGCACAGCCAGGTGCCCTCCGCTCAGCCACTTGGCCACGGTGCAGATCCCTCACTGAGGGTCGCTTTGTATCCCTGTGGTCACTCAGGGTGGCGAGGGGATGCCATGGGCGTGTTTCTGGGTTGATGATATGTCCCTTCAAATATTTTTTCCATCTTGTTTTCTTATTGTGAAGTTATGTATGTATGTATGTATGTATGTATGTATTTATTTATTTATTTATTTGCAAAGAAGAGCTTGAGCAGGGGTGGGGGAAGAGGCAGATGGAGAGGAAGATGCAGACACCCTGCTGAGCAGGGAGCCCGATGCAGGGACTCAACCCCAGGACCCCGGGATCATGGCCCAAGTGGAAGGCAGACGCGTCAGCCACTGAGCCCCCTGGGCGCCCCTTAGAGTCTTTCAAATACTCCATACACAAAGCTTTATCCAATATCTGGCTTTCCAATATTCTCTTCCAATCTGTTGTCTATCTTTTCAATTCTCCTAACGGTGTCCTTGGAAGAGACGTTCTCATTCTGAGCAAGTCCAATGTATGGATTTGGTTTTCTACAGATAGCACAGGAGCCAAGAAATCTTTGCTGAACCAAAAGGTCACGAAGATTTTGCGCTAAGTTCATCAGTTTCATGTCCTACGTTTTAGTTCTGTGATCCATGTCGAGCACTTTGGTTTGGTTTTGTTTGTGTGGTTCTTGACGTCCTACAGTTTCCACGCTATTCGTTGAGAAGACCGTCCTTTCCTTCTGCACTGAATAACCTTCGCTCCTTTGCTGAAAACCAACCATCCACATGCGATCCATGTCCTGGGTCACGGGCCCTCAGCTTTCAAGTACCTGCATTCAAATCCCATCACTGTCACTTATTAGCCTAACCTCCCCTAGATACAGATATGCCACGCAGTGCCTCAGCCCTCTCATGTGTAACAGTGACTCGCTAATGATTCTTACTGGAAGCGTTGTGGGGGTGATTAAATGAGGTAATCACATTAAGTTTCTGGAATACTGAGTAGACACACAGTAAATACTAGCTGCAGTTTTTATCTCCACTTTTCAGGGGATGTGAGATGAGCTTCGAGTCGTAAATAGCTCTCCTAAGTGAGCGTTCAGAAGTGGTACGGGACATTTCCAGGTGACGCACCACAGGAGTCTGACCCCAGACCTCAGAGCCTCCATCACTCACATCATCTATCCTGTACATTTTTAAAAATATTTTTTCTGAAGAGTTTTGATCAGGAATGGATGCTGTATTTTGTCAAATGCTTTCTCTGCATCTAATGAGAGGATCATATGGTTCTTGGTTTTTCTCTTGCTGATATGATGAATCACATTGATTGTTTTACGAGTGTTGAACCAGCCTTGCATCCCGGGGATAAATCCTACTTGGTCATGGTGAATAATTTTCTTAATGTGTTGTTGGATCCTATTGGCTAGTATCTTGTTGAGAATTTTTGCATCCATGTTCATCAGGGATATTGGTCTGTAATTCTCCTTTTTGGTGGGGTCTTTGTCTGGTTTTGGAATTAAGGTGATGCTGGCCTCATAGAATGAATTTGGAAGTACTCCATCTCTTTCTATCTTTCCAAACAGCTTTAGTAGAATAGGTATGATTTCTTCTTTAAACGTTTGATAGAATTCCCCTGGGAAGCCATCTGGCCCTGGACTCTTGTGTCTTGGGAGGTTTTTGATGACTTCTTCAATTTCCTCCCTGGTTATTGGCCTGTTCAGGTTTTCTATTTCTTCCTGCTCCAGTTTTGGTAGTTTGTGGCTTTCCAGGAATGCGTCCATTTCTTCTAGATTGCCTAATTTATTGGCGTAGAGCTGTTCATAATATGTTTTTAAAATCGTTTGTATTTCCTTGGTGTTGGTAGTGATCTCTCCTTTCTCATTCATGATTTTATTAATTTGAGTCTTCTCTCTCTTCTTTTTAATAAGGTTGGCTAATGGTTTATCTATCTTATTAATTCTTTCAAAGAACCAACTCCTGGTTTTGTTGATGTGTTCCACAGTTCTTCTGGTTTCGATTTCATTGAGTTCTGCTCGAATCTTTATTAACTCTCTTCTTCTGGTGGGTGTAGGATCTATTTGCTGTTTTTTCTCAACAGACAACATTATTATTATTATTATTATTCTGTATGTTGGTAAATTGAACACCAATAAAAATTAATTTATAAAAAAAATAAAAAAATAAAAATAAAAATATTTTTTCAAAGATTCTACCTATTTATTCATAAGAGACACAGGGAGAGAGGCAGAGACACAGGCAGAGGGAGAACTAGGCTCCCTGCAGGGAACCCGATGTGGGACTGGATCCCAGGACCCCAGGATCACACCCTGAGCCGAAGGCAGATGATCAACCACTGAGCCCCCCAGGCATCCCTTGATACTGTGATTATGATGGAACTTGGTGGTTTTCTTCATGTTTCTTGTGTTTTGGGTTCATTGAGCTTTTGGGGCCTGTGAGTTTGTAGTTTTTATGAAATTTGTAAACTTGCATCCATTATTTCTTGGAATTTTTTTTTTTTTTTGGTGCCTCTTCCATTTGGGACTCCAGCACACATATCATAGGCTTCTCAGAGTTATCTCACTCTCGGCATTCATATATTTTCAGCCTTTACTTCTCTGTGTTCCGCTGTGGACAGTTCCTCTTACCATGTCAAGGTCACTAATTTTAGATAATTTTTGTGTTATCTAATCGAGGGATTCCATTCAGTGTTGTCATCTCTAGAGGCATGGCTTGGGTCATGGATGTGGGTTCTCCATATCTATTTAACATGCATTTGCCCCTAATTCCACCACTGCTGTCATTTCTGGGCCTGTTTCTGTCATTGGTTTGTGCCTCTTTCCCATGTTGATGTAAAATTAATTTTTTTTACATATTAAGGGAAATAACTCTTGTCACATAGCACAGATATTTCTCACAATTTTTTGTTTGTTTTTTCTGTTCCCTATCCCTGAAATGAAACTCACTCTTATTCTTGCTCCAATCTCCCTTTCCTGGCTCCATTTTCCTTCAATAATCCTTAGCACCACCCAACACGTTATATAATATCTGTGTTGTCTCCTCACTAAAAAACAAGCTGTATAAGGGTAGAGATTTATCTGTTTTATTTACTGCAATATCCCGCCGCCAAACATCAGGAGCAGAGCACATCCTAAGTGTCTCTAATAAATATATTTTGGGAGGAAAAAAAAAGTTAATCTTGTTTCCATTATTTTTGTTTTCATTAAAATCAGTCACCTTTAGAAAGTCTTGCTCATTTCAAGAATACTTGATTTAATTTTTACATTTAAATGTTAAAGCCTCTGATCCTTTTGTAGCTCATAAATGTGATGATTATGTGTTCACGCCACTGTGTGACATATGCCGCCCTCAAACCTTGTTACGACTGCGGCACATTACCCATTTGACGTGAAAAAATAATAAATAAATAAATAAATAAATAAATAAATAAATAAATAAATAAATAAAAAATATTAAAGCCTCTTTGATATGAATTTTGATGTGTGAAGCATGATTCTGGTTTTATTGGTGAATCTTCTTCCTTCTGCCTTGCTCCTGGCAGCCACCATTCTCCTTCCTGTCTCAACTAATTTGATTGCTCGAGGTTCTTTATAAAAGTGAAGTCACATGATATTGTCCTCTAGTGACTGGCTTAGTTCACTCGGCATAATGTCCTCAATGTTCATCTGCGTTGTAGCAGGTGTCGGAATGTCCTTCCTTTCTCAGGTGGAATAATATTCCACTCCGTGGATATAGGCCACATTCTGTTTACCTGCTCCTCCGTCGGTGGACACTTGGGTTGTTTCCATGTCAGGGCTGGGGTAAAGAATGCTGCTATGAACACAGGTGCATGAAAGTTTCTTGAGACCCTATTCTTTTTTTTAAAAGATTTTATTTATTTATTCAGAGAGACAGAGAGAGAGGCAGAGACACAGACAGAGGGACAAGCAGATTCCCTGCAGGGACTCCGATGTGGGACTTGATCCCAGGACCCGGGGTCACAACCTAAGCTGAAGGGAGATGCTCAACCACGAAGCCACCCAGGTGTCCCTGAGACCCTAGTCTTAATTCTTTGGGGTATATGCCTAGAATTATAATTGCTAGATAATGTGGTGGTTCTGTTTTTAATATTTGGAGGAACTGCCACACCGTTTTCCAGAGCAGCTGCATCACTGTACATGCCCACTCTCAGGACACAAGGATCCCAATTTCCTCACATCTTTTTTGACACATCATTTTCTGGGGGTTTTGTTTCATTTTGTTTTTTAAAATTTTTTTTTAATTTTTATTTATTTATGATAGTCACAGAGAGAGAGAGAGAGAGAGGCAGAGACACAGGCAGAGGGAGAAGCAGGCTCCATGCACCGGGAGCCCGACGTGGGATCCGACCCCGGGTCTCCAGGATCGCGCCCTGGGCCAAAGGCAGGCGCCAAACCGCTGCGCCACCCAGGGATCCCTCATTTTGTTTTTTAATAGTAACCATCCTAAATGGTGTGAAGGTATCTCACTGTGGTTTTTTGTTTTGTTGTTTTCTTTTTTAAAGATTTTATTTATTTATCCATGAGAGACACAGAGAGAGAGGCAGAGACACAGGCAGAGGGAGAAGCAGGCTCCATGCAGGGCGCCCAACGAGGGACTCGATCCTGGGTCTCCAGGATCACACCCTGGGCAGAAGGCAGCGCTAAACCACTGAGCCACCTGGGCTGCCCCTGTTTTGTTGTTTTTTTAAGTAGGCTCCATGCTGGGCACGGGGCCCAACACAGGACTCGAACTCAGGAACCCCCACCCCATCCCAAAATCAAGACTTGGATGCTCAACCGACTGACTAAGCCACCCAGGCGGCTTTGATTCTCATTTCCCTAAATGATCAATGGTGTCGAGAATCCTTTATGGGCTTGTTGGCCATGTGTGTATCTTCTTGGTAGAAATGCCTATTCAATCTTCTCTCCATTTACGAATTGGGTAATTTGGTGTTTTTTGCAGTAAAACCTATGAGTTTTTAGTGGTTGGAATTTCTATTATTGTGCCAAGTGGAGTGAAACAGTGGGAAGAATAAGCACCGTGCATGGTGAGGGGGAATGGAGAAAGGACTTCTGGCCAGCACCCCTTTCCTGGTCAGGGCTTTCAGCTCCCAGCTCCACCTGCTGTCTCCTGACCCTGCCCAACCCCCCCGGACCCCCTCCCCCCAGGCCGAAGTGTCCAAGGTTCCCGTGGTTCCTCTGGGGAACCCCAGGTCAGTGGGGGGCAGGCACCTGCCACAGTCCCTCGCAGGGGGGAGGGCGCCACCTACCGGGGAGACTGAGAATTTGTCATTTCCCTGAGAATCCAGGCACCAGCTGGCCAGAGAGAGAGGGAGAGGCAGGGTTTGGCCTCCACCTGCCCGGCTCGATGGTTTTGAGATGATCTTCAGCTCTGTGGGCACTGAAGTGCCTCCTCCCCGCTCTCAGCTTTGGGGGTTTCAGGGCGGAGATCACAGGGGGCCAGAATGTCCCCCAGGCAGGAATTCTCTCACAGGGTCCTTTCTGGCTCCAGGTCTGGTCCACTGGCTTGGCATTCAGGGCCTCCCTGCTGTGGGGATGGGGCAGCACCTGACTGAGAGGCCTTGCTGTCCACTCCAGCCCTGTGCCCTTGGAGGCTGCAGGGTCCAGCCTTGAATCCTGGCCTCACCTTCCCAGGCTGTCCCTGAAGCCAGCCCTGGGGTCTTCCACATCCAAGTTTCTCTGCAGAATTCAGCAGGGACTCAGGTCACGGGTAACAACTGAATCCTGAAGGCTCCAGCACCTCCTGGAAATGTGGGAGCCCTTCCCCTTGGTCTGGAACTACTCCTGATGCCCAGCCTCTCCCAGAGGCTCCATTCACCTGTTCTTCTCTCTGACCCCTTCGCCTCGGCCCTGCCTTCTCTCACGTCAAGAAAACTTTGTTTCAGGGGAGAATAATGCACTGTGGAAATCCTGGAGGACCCCCCCCCCCGCCCTCTGGGTTTTCTGGTCCCAGTTCCCTGTGAAGCACAGACACCTGGTGGCAACCCAAAAAGAATTATTGTCTGTAGAGATGGAAATGATGTCCTATGCTGTGCAGGGTGAATTGACTCTCTTCCTTGCCTCCCTAGCTCTGGGGAAAAACCAGTCTGCTGTACATTTGTGCATTCACTGCCATATTCCTCATCGATAAGTGTGTCTGTTCCTTGGATATGCTTCCTTTTCCTTTCTTTCTTTCTTTCTTTCTTTCTTTCTTTCTCTTTCTTTCTTTCTTTCTTTCTTTCTTTTTTTTAAATGACAGTATTATTGACTGTATTCCCTATGCTGTACTTTTCATCTCTGTAATGGGACTTTCTTTTCAACCTGTTAAACCATCTACTTGGTTCCCTCACTGATTAGCAAGTAGAATAAAATCCTCAACAGGCAGGGCTGCTGGAGAGCTCAGTGGGGTAAGCAACCAGCTCTTGGTTTTGGCTCAGGTCATGATCTCAGGGTTATGGGATTGAGCCCAACATGGGCTCTGCGCTCAGAGGGGAGTCTGCTTGAGATTCTGTCTCCCTCTCCCTCTCCCTCTGCTCTCTCTCTCTCTCTCAAACAAATAAATAAATCTAAAAAAAATCTATAACAGGTGCTCATTTTTGTGTCTGCATGAAATTCATGATTTTTGCCTTTTGTTGAAAATTAAACACTCAACTGGGTAGGTCCCTGCACCCAGAAAGCCCAGCCCTCCGGCACTGAGACCCCAAGGGTCACAGCTGGGGACCCGTGCCTCCCCTTTATGTGCCCCGTGGGCTCCAGGAGAGACATCCTCTCTGGTTCCTGGTCCCCACAGGCTGCAGCACAAGTGGCTGGTCAATAAGACCATGAAGGCGAAGCTGGGGTTTTTCTGGATGTTGGGGGAAGGGGCTTGCCCTGAAACTGACTGTTCTTCCCTAGAACGGCTCAAGGGCAGCTTGGCCATCCCTGCACTGGTCACGGGGTAAAATGGTTGGGTTTTCACGGTTTTGAAAATGCTTGAGCCTTTTCCAAGAAAAACGTTGCTGTGGGGGGAAGGGGAGAGTTTGTGTTTCGTGGGGACAGAGTTCTGGGGACAGTCAGTGGCGACAATGGCAGGACGGTGGGAATGTGTCAACACTCCTAAGCCACGTGCTTGCAGGAGTAAGAAGATAGATTTTACATCACGTGCATTTTACCATGATAAAAAAAAATGAGAGCAAAGTGCTCATTTCAATGCTTTTTTGGGTGGACTTCTGTGGAGAAAGCTGAAACGGGCAAGATTTCACAGCTTCTCAGAAATGGAGCTTCTTATGCAGGTGACGTTTAAAAATAAGCCTTCCTCCTCCATTTCCCCCCACCCCCAGCTTTCTACCCAACAGCACACAAGGACGTGGCCTACTATCTAGAAGGTTCCAGGGAGCAGCATGGAGGCAATGAGAGGGAGCGCCAGGGTGAGGGGACACCAGTCTGTCCACATGACACCTGCTGTTGTCATGAAAGGGTTGCTTCGATGACTGAGGACAGAAAACTTCATGAGCTGGCCAGCAGGCCAGAGGAAGGGAGGGCTGCGGGGTGTGGAGGGGGTGCTCAGTCCTGTTGCTGTGGTAGCTCTGGCTGTCAGAAGTCCAGAACAGGTCAGCAGGACCAGTTCCTCCTGAAGGCTCTAGGGGGGAATCAGCCGCTTCCTGCATCGTCCTGACCGCTCACTTCCCAGGTCACAGCTGCTGACTCTGACCTTCCCGCCTCCTTCTTGGGAGGGTGGGGACCCTGGCAGTCACCAAGGCCCCACTTGGGTCAGCCAGTACAGTCTCATGTCTCAAAGTCCTTAACATACACCTGCAAAGTCCCTTTACCCAAATAAGGTGACATTCTCATGGGCTCTGGGGTTTGGAGGCCTTCCTGTGAAATGTGGGGGTGAAGACAGGCCTGTTGGGACTCCCCATGCCCTCTCGTGGGGATCTTCACCTCCAGGAATGGGGACAGTGGATGGGGACCCACTCATCCGCAAGAGATGGCTGCCTCCTGCCCACCCACCCCCAAATACCCGCACACCAACCTTGCCTCTGGATTGGGGTGATCCCACGTCGGTGACCCCGGGGCAGGGGGCAGGAGGGCAAGGGGCCTGCCTGGCTGTGGTTGGGGATAGCAGAGCAACTCCAACAGGCTCAGTGAGGACCCCCAGTTCCCATGCGTGCTCTGGCCTCCCACAGCCGTCAGAGCTCTTTGGAGACATGTCCTTGGGGCACTTGGGACTCAGCCAGGTCCTGGGATCAAGTCCCACATTGGGCTCCCTGCCCATCATCCCTACTTGTCCTTCTCCCTCTGCAGCTCCCCCTGCTTGTGCTCTCTCTCTCTCTGTCAAATAAACAAACGTTGTTTAAAATAAATAAATAAAAACAAGTTCTTGTTTTTGTGATTTACAAACATGCCTGAC